GCTATAGCTTTAGTAAGTTGATTAGTGTGACTTGAGATCATAATTTATGAACAAAATAGCAAAGTATTTAAAATAAAAACCTGCATCACAGAACTGCTGCTTTAGTTCACATTTTGAACAGTTAATTGTAATAAAATAAAAAAAAATACCTTTCTTCTTCTTGTTGACCACAGCATAAGTCACCTGATCAGGGTCAGCTGCATCAGCTGCAACTGAAAGTTCACAAAAAAGGAACTGTAACAGATTTACTGAAAATGATTAACTCAAAGAGTTTTCGAGACGTTAGGATTTATGTTTTGTTTGTGTGAATTCTAGTTCTTGGTTCTTTTTAGTTTTTCTCTGGTTAGTTCATGTTCCTCTGTTCAGCCCCACACTCCTGCACTTGATTATGGTTCTCTCTGCACAGGTGTTGGGTATTTAGTTTCTCTTCATATTGTGTTTTTGGTTTGTTCTTTATTTCTACATTATACACTTCGTCAGTCCTGTGTGGTAGTGGCTGAGAGTCATTCACAACACAGTTTGTCTGCAGGATATTTAGTTATAATGTCTGAAATCACAGAGAACATTTTTTTATTTTAACCAACATGATTACAACTTAGTCACTTATCATCATGATATATGGACTAAAATAAAAAGTCTGTTTGATTTTGTAAACTTGTTGGGTCATTTTTACAGTTAATGACCAACTTTTTTGTAGCCTGGTTTAAACCAGACCCTGTCCTTCACTTTGCTTCGTACAAGGGTCTGGACTTGATGCATAGACAAGTGATTCTTGCAGGAGGCGTGGCGTCTGCTGAAGTTTAAAATGATTGGATCAGTTGGCTGCGACGTATGTCGCTGTGACGGTGGCTAAACTAAGAAGCTAACCGGAAATTGTATGTGCTGTAAACAACCCTACTGAGAGGAGAAAAGTACAGAGCTGAACGAGACGACTGTAAATAAGAGCTGCTGCTTTGTCAGAAACTTTAATTTAATTTGGAAGCCTTACCAATACTAACTGGCTTCATTCACTCCCTCCACTGCCGTATGCTAAAATAACTAGCAGACACTGCGCAGAAAGTCGACGTTGTTCAAAACTCCTCCTTCTGTTTGCTGATTGGCCCAGGTAAAATAAACTACAAGCAGACACTGCTCATAAAATTGACATTCTGTTCTCTGATTGGCCCGGCTAAAAACCTGCCAGTGAAATCCATCACAATGGGAGAAGTCCCAGATGGAGCAGTGAAGGGAAACTAGAATTGAGCGGAGCTGAATAGGAAGGCAAGGGCCAGGCTAACTTTTTTTGTATTCACTCTTTGTTTTGGTCTTCTTAATACCCAAACAGAAACAAGTTCTACACAAAAGGTCCCTTCCTTTTTTATTAGAATCATAATATTTCCTTAACTTTCTCTTATCATATAGAACTAATTACCATCCTTACTTGGGGAGAAAATGAACTTTACCTTTGTGTTTCCTGTAGAGAACCAGTCCAAATATCAGCAGCAGCAGAGTCACTAATGTAACACAAAGCAGGATAGTTGTAGAAGACTGACTGTCCACCGGTTGAGTCTCTTTAGGGGGACCTGAAAAAAATTGCATTTACTAAACCATAGATTTTTAGTATGAGTACCATTTATGGTTTTTGAAATATTAAACTTTATTTGAGGTCCACTGGTATACAATAGCAAAATTATTCAACTTGGATTTGGTCCAGTATTCCCCAGTAGATGAAAGGGTAGCTTTTGGGTAAAGGGATCGGCTCTGATGGTTGTTTGTGCCTATGTGCTGAATGGCAGTTCATCGTACGCAGTCTTTTTTTTTTTTTTGCCATCGTACTCAGTCTTCTTAGAGCCCTTAGTGGTTGTGCTGGAAGGTGCTCCAGCTGGGGATTCCTTTATTCTGCTGGGGGGACTTAAATTCTCATGTAAGTAATGACTATGTGACCCAGCGGGGCATGACTTGGAGGAAATGCCTCTCTGATCTGAAGTGGTGTTCTGTTGTTGGACTTCAGTTATAGTCAGAGTTTGTCCACCATAAACACCATTTTCTAACATGAAGGTGTCATAAGTGCACATGGCAACAGGGCAACCTACATCACAGATTGATGATTGACTTAGTAGTTGTGCCATCTGAACCACAGCTCTGCTGTTGCCGAGACAAAAGCTCAGATGTGAGAAGAGTTCAGTGAGGCCTTGGACAAAGACTCTCGATCAGCTCTGTGGAGATTCTGGCAAACTACCTGGTGGCTGAGGTGAGGGAAGCAGCACTTCACTAACTCTGTGCTGAGTGAAGGTGGAGTGCTGTTGACCTCAACTAGTGATGTCATCAAGAGTTGAAAGGAATACTTCTTGGACTTTCTCAATCCCACTAGTACATTTTCTATGGAGCAAGCAGAGTTTGAGAATTTTGGGGGTGGTCTGTCCATAACTGGGGCTGAGGTCTCTGAGGTAGTTAAAAAGTTCCACAGCAGCAGGGTTACATGGTGGGTGAGATCCACCCTGATTTCCTCAAGGCTCTGTATGCTGTGGGTCTGTCTTAGTTGACACACCTTTGCAACATCACATGGACATTGGGGGCAGTGCCCCTGGATTGGCAGACTGGGGTGGTGGTTCCCCTTTTTAAAACGGAGGATCTGATGGTCTACTCCAATTACAGCGGCATCACTGATGTGGTTCTGTTGGCATCATTGTGCCGTGATCTTCAGCTCTTACTGGAGCAGTTCACAGCAGAGTGTGAAGCATCTGGGATTAGGGTTAAAAAACCTCAAAATGTGAGTCCATGGTTTTCAGTCAGAAAAAGGTGGACTGCTCTCTGTGGGATGGGGATGAGATTTTGCCTCAAGTGAAGGTCAAGTGTCTTGGCGTCTTGTTCACAAGTGAGGGAATAATGGAGTGTGAGATTGATAGACAGATCAGTGCAGCTTCTGCAGTTTTGCAGACTCTGTACAGGTCTGTGGTGAAGAGGGAGCTGAAATTAAGGAGAAGCTCTCTGTTTTGGCCTACATTCCTACTCTCACCCATGGCCTCGAATTTGGAGTAGTGACCAAAAGAAAGAGTTCCCGAATATAAGCTGTGGAAATGAGTTTCCTCTGCAGGGTGTCTGGGCTCTCCCTTAGAGATAGGGTGAGAAGCTCAGTCATCCAGGAGGGACTCAGAGTAAAAGTGCTCCTCCTCCACGTCAAGAGGAGCCAGTTGAGGTGGTTCATCTGGTTAGGATGCCTCCTGGACGCCTCCCTAGAGAACTGGGAGGAGACCCCAAGGAAGACCCAGGGAACGCGTTGGGGTCTTCCCAAAAGAGTTTGAAGAGGTGGATGTAGAAAGAGAGGTCTGGACTTCCCTGCAAGCTGCTGCCCCTGTGACCCAACTCAGAATAAGCAGAAGATGATGGATGGATGGATGGATGGATGGATGGATGGATGGATGGATGGATGGATGGATGGATGGATGGATGGATGGATGGATGGATG